GCACAAACGGGAAATATAATATAAGGATCCTAGTGGCGTATTGCCAAAAATTCAAATGCATGATTCCTCACAGCACTGTTAGCCTCGCTTTATAACGTTGGTATCAGCACAAGTGATCATCACGTCATCGGATGAATAGAACTGCAACATGGGACGTTTTTTATTTCTAAACAGTTCATTGCTGTTTTTTCTATTACATTGTTCAAGAAGCCTTCAACAAAGCTCATAGACTGTCATTCCGTCTCATATTTGAGATACATGAAATTACCGATTAACACTATTTCGAGGTTTAACTGTGTCTTACCCATTACCTCATTGAACTCATTGTTCTTTTTATATCCATTCTTTTGCTTGATAAAAATTTCTTAATAATGAAACAACCTCCTAAAGGAATTTCAAAATGGTGGAATCGCTTGTCATTCCCATCCTTAAAAGTGATTGCGCCAACCATATGGGTATAAGGCCCGTACCGACAGCTTGGAAGATGTTGGCGTCCGTCATTCTTTACAGCTGATCTGCGAATATTAAGCTGGTTATCGCATCTGAAGGGGAAGGTGTACATCGTCACGGTTCCTAGTGTTCAGGTTTACGGTTGCGAGCTCCGGCTACTCTTCGCTGAGGATACTGATAAACTTTCTTTCATGGACCACCGATGTCTTGGAAGAATTAATCGTGTCTGATGGGATCAGCATGTGAGTAATTACAAGGTTGTCGTCGTCGCGCTGTTGATTGTTAATAGTCTTGCTACAAAAGAATTATTCGCTCCATACCGCCTCCAATGATTCTGTCATTTTGGCCTACACCTTTCCATCTCCTTGTAAGTGTTTGGACTGGCTGTTAGAAAAGTTCCGGTTTTCGGACTATGATCTGGAATAAGGACAAAAAGAATTTAGCTTCAGTATTGGCTTCCGTTGGTGCAGCCCGTCTTCCTGGTGAGGTGCCAAAGGATGAGGACGGTTTTTGATGAAAGGCGCTGAGCGATATGGCTCAGAAAAGAATGTAAATGCTGTGCGGCCTGTCGATTGAAATATTGTGGCCCATAAAAGAAATAAAACCAGACAAACAAATCACCAAGTATACGGTGAAGTAATAAATATCATATATATATATATATATATGTATATATTTATATGTGTGTGTGTGTTGAG